CTTCCCTAAATTTGTTTGAACAGGATTCAAGAGTTACATGGGAAAGGTGGGATGAAACCTAGAGACAAGTACGCACATGGAGGCAGCCCATCGCAAAGTGTCCTTCAGAGACCAGGGTCAGGGCAGGTGATGAGGATTTCTTAAGAGAGAAATCAAAACAGCCAAGCTTTCTTCTCTGTCTGTCCTGGGTTTGATTCTGATCACTAGTTTCATTAAAGGCCTGCTGATGGAATAAAACACACACATCTAATCTGTAAATGATCCCGAGCCCAGAGGGGCAGAAAGCAATTTGAAGGGTTAAGTGTAACAACAGCAGCATTCTGTAATGAGAAGATATCATCAGTGCTGCAGAAAAGGGCAAAGCTCACTGTGGGATGAACTTCCAACAGCATCTGCAAGGCATGGGAGGAAAATTATGCTCCTCTGCCCCGGTCAGACCGCTGCAGAGCCCAGAAAGTCAGGCTGGGAAACATGTTTTTGGAAAGGCTTAAGCAGATGAGAGAGAATATGGAGAATTTTGGAAGACATGCCTCCCGAGGAAAAACCCAAAGAACTGTGTTTCTTTTGACTGGAAATTGCCTGGAAGAAAGAAACAATAAAATCTAACAATATGTAAAGTCAGCTCTGGAGGTGACAGTGAAATCAGTTCCTGTTGCCAGCTGGGCAAGGACAAGCAACAACCCATTCCCAGGTAAGGAGGTTTGACCAAATATGAAAACAAGCTACTGAGAATCAAGCACAGCTGAATCTTTTTGGCAGAGAAGCTGTGGAAGGGTTTTAATCATGGGTTAGAAATGTGCCTGTCAGGGATGGGCAAGCATCTCTACAGACAAGGGTGAAGGCAGAGGTGACCATAGCATGTGTTCCTATTGCCGTGACCCACCAGACCATTTTCTGCAACCCTCATTTTAGGTTCTGCCTTGCAGCTCTTTCACACAAGGAGTTTGCTGCTGTTCTGCCTTGTGACAAACTCATGTACAGAAAAAGCAAGCGGCAGCACGGAGCTAAGGGTCTGCAATTCCACTCAGACAGTCAGGAGTTGTCAAAACACTCCATCAGAGCAGAAATAGCTTGTGTCATTCTCCAGGCTCTGAAATAACATCTCAAATGAAAAGCCTGCCTCTGGATTTATTTCACACCTCTGATCCCGTATAGCTGGTTCTCATCATCTGTTACCACATAATCTTGTGTCTTGCCCAACTCTGAAAAATAATGACATGGAAATAGGGCTTTGATGTCTTGTGAAAATTGAGTTGCAAGGCTGCTCTAAGGTCCCTCAAATATGAGTTCTAGTATTTGGATATTACTTTGGGGGATTACGTACCAAAAGTGCTCCTAAGGAACCCATTCTGGCCTGAGGAACACCTTGTACAGGGTGATCACTCTCCCATCCCAACCTGCACCATGTTGTTAATTACTGAACAAGCAGCAGTTTCAGGAGTTGAGTAACTCAGCAACAGACTGTTCAGCCCTGTGGTCACTGTTGAGCTGCTGGATGGGAGGAAAGATGAAAGAGGAACACAAGATTGTCAAGAGGAGGAATCCAATACGGAATGGGAAATGATTACCCAGACAGCATCACACAATGGACTCCTAAATCCTTACTTCAGATTTAGGTTCCATGAATATACATTGCTAAATCATGCAGGTGATTTTCATGTCTTTGAACTACAACTTCAGACCCCTGTCTTTGGAAGTTGTTGGTCAAGAAGACTCCACAAGCACAGAAGAGGGAAGCAGAACTGTTTTTCATCACAGTATATCGCTCTTCTTAGATATTGGTTTCCTCTCTTCTTTGCAAAAAAGGCCAATGACACACCTAAGAAATGCTCAGGACTGTCTCACCTTCACATCTTCTTCTGCTGTCCCAGGGGTGCCGCTTCCATAAAGTCACATTTTGCATAAGAAAACAAGAGCTGCAGCGGTGAGAATGGCACGCTCTTGCTGCAAGAGAAGCAAATGTGCTCCGTGCAGCAGGACAAAGACGCTTTTCCTGATCTCTTGCTAGATTGTATCTCTCAACAAAGGGAAAACACTGTGCAGCAGGACACAGACGCTTTTCCTGATCTCTTCCTAGATTGTATCTCTCAACAAAGGGAAAACACTTGTGGGCCTATAAACTTAATTTCGTGATGATCTGCTGAACATCTGTTACTGGATCATTCACAGGGTCACTCCAGTCTTGAGCTTGATCTCATTCGCCATTTTGCCATTTTGCACAGAGAACGGGCATCAAAAGTGGGACCTGGTTCTGCAACAAAAAAGGTGCCTCTAGAGCAGGTGATTCATGCCCCAGACAGCTGATCTTGGCTTCTCAGCCCTTAGGAAGAAAGCTCCACCCCAGAGAGCAGACAGGAATACCACTGCTTCTGGGGGAGCTGAGAGATTGCCCCAAAGCCATATCTGATGTTTCATTCTCAGTCTTGCATAGCTCAAGCTCTTCTTCCTGATCCAGACTTCTGCCCCTTGCACTGGTGTATCTTCTGTCATCCTGGCCATAACTGAGAGCCCAGGGACCTCCATCCTTTTAGGTCTTCCAGCTCCCCTGGCAGCCCTGCCTGTGACTGAGGGTCCCTCAGCAGCAGAGACAAAGGTGCATCTTGCAGGAACTCCCTCCAGTTCTCTTTCAATCCACTGACACAGCTGTTCTCCGTCCTCTCCAAGGCCACAGCAGGGAAAGCAGACTGAAGTCATTCCATAGGCCACATCTGTGCTGGGAGTCTTTGGTGGGATCTCACTGATCACAGAGGAAATGCCCTGACCCCAATCAGTTCCTAATCTCTGTTGAGAATCTGCCTGTGGCTGCTTCCATGTACCAAGATTGTTATCAAATGATTCAAGAAACACATGGTGAAAGCTTGGCTGCACACAGTCAGACAGGGTTTGGCCACTGGCTCTCCCAGGTTGCTCCTCTAGCTGGTCTGACTGCTGGGGAGTCTAAAAGAAACCCCAAACCATCAACCATAACATCTCTAACAACAAAAACCCTCCCTGAGCTTTCCTGTTTATTCCTGGGATTTCAGTCCAGATCAAAGCTGCTGGTGACTTACCCTTCCATGCAAACTATGAATGCAGAACCGCTTTCATCCAAACCACAGCACTGTCTGCAGCATTCCCAGGAGGGTTTCTTGTAAGCAACTCCCCCTGCATCTGCTTCCCAGAAAGCTGGTTGGGTCCTCTGCAGGCTCTGTATATGTCCACACTACTGAGAGCTCACCCTGAATCCTGCTTGCACTCTGCAGGACACAGTGCCCGGTCCCAGTGGAGTGCCATCACCAGGAGAAATGAGCCTTGATGAAGAAGAAAAACCAAGACAAGATACCAGCCACCTCCAGGGGTGCCAGAACAGCTCTCGCCCAGATCCACACAACGTCCCCACTGTGCTGCAGTGAGTTGGGGACGAAGCCACCTGACTTCCCCCTGCAGCCATGGGGAGAAAGGGGCATCTCTGGAGGAGATTCAGCCCATGTAAGAATGATGGATGCGCAGAAGAAGCCAACTCTCTCCACTAACTGTAGAGAGGGATGGGGCTGAAGACCTGAATGAAGCTGAGTTGGGGCTTACACTGTTCAGGAACTGCTCAGACCCTCCTGAAGGATCACTCCCTCCTGCCTTTATTACCAGACTGCCCGATGTGTGCTGTCTTTAACTGTTGCTGATTCTTCACTGTCACGTGTTATTTATGGAGTTCTGTGGCTGCCTGCAAGACTTCCCACGTAATTAAGCCAGTCTGCAGGCCCTGAAGGCATTGTTGTAAATTCTTCCTCTGACATCGTCCTGCTCCAGTGGATCTGGGCCTGCCATGATGCATGCTACAGTGTCTGCTGTTTGCCCCTCCTTGCTCCAAAGCCCACCCTATGTCACCCGCTGCTGCTGGTGTTCTGCCTTGGCCCTTCCCATGCTCTTGGGCATTCATGAAGCAGTCACTGTGCCCACCGACATCACCATCATCACCACCAACCATCACCTTCATCCATCACACTGTCACTGTGCCCACCATCACCATCACCAACCATCACCATCATCTATCACGCTCTCACTGTGCCCACCAACCATCACCATCATCCATCACGCTGTCACTGTGCCCACCAACATCACCATCATCACAACCAACCACCACCATCATCCATCATGCTGTCACTGTGCCCACCAACATCGCCATCTCAGCTGCAAGGCAGTTTGGGCAGCTGGTGTGTACCAATTTACACCAACAACATAAGGCGACTGCAGAAGGCTGCATTCCCAGTCCCATGACTTTACAGAGCCACAAATACACCACAAAGATCCCTAAATAAGAAACAAAGGACTCTTCCTAAGCAATCTGATGTGGGTATGCCTTCCTTAAGAGTTTGAGGGGAAAAAATAAGTATATTCTGGGTGAGGGAGTGAGGTACCATCCATATCCTCCCACTCTTCCGGTTCCTACTGCCAGGGCAGGTACATGCCAGCTGTAAAGCACTCAGACCTGTGGCAACTTACCTTCCAGGTGATCGGCCACCTCAGTGTAAGACCGCAGCACTGCCAGGGACACTGCCTCCCCTGAAACACAGGAGAGACACAGCCCTGAGAGACATACAGGTGACAGACCAGCCCCACCTTGCTCTCTGACAATGTCACGTTACGATTCTCTGCATCCCAAGATGCTACAAGCTCTGAAAGACTTGAAAGAAATAAGGAAAATTGGACTTTATGCTTCCACACAGCAGGCAGCAACCAGATTGTCTAGGCTATCACATGAGCCCATGCTACTGCAATTTCCCCTCTTGTCCTACATTCAGTCCCTGTAAAATGAAGGTTAAAAACCTATGAACATTGATATCTTCTATACTGAGAGATACTGTCTTGACACACTATCAGTCAATGAGAAGAACTGATTTAATCTGATTGCTAGCAGCGCGTGGAGGCCCATGGGGCAGGATGCAGCACTTATTTATCGTTTAAACTTGTCCACAGGATCACCATATTACAGAAAGCATGGTGAGCAGTGCAAGCGTAGAGAAGGGACAGCCCGGCCACATTTCATACTCACAGCTGGCATAAAACAGCACCACTGTCCGGGCAGTCTCCAAGAGGGCAGAGTGGAAGGTCTCCTCTGTCAGGACACGGATCCGCTCCAGGGGCAGCTCTCGCTTCTTGTCCCTGGAAACCGCTTCCACCACCTGATCATCCTGAATGTCTGCAAGGGACCCGCAGCCCTGCGTGAACAGAGGTACGCAGCGAGCAGAGGGAACCGCGGCCCCCTGCACCACCCCATCGGCACGTTTTTGTAAGCCAGCACCTCTCAGCAGAGACACGGTGACTCTCAGCAGGGGGGTAAGTAACTGCCTCGTATGGGGGAGCAGAGGTGCAGGCACACATACAAACTCAATGAAATGCACTTATGCCGTCTCACAGCAGTCGTGCCCTCCAATTTGAACACTATTCTCTAAGAATGTTGGCTCCTCTGGGGTCCTGTGCCACTTTTTTTGGAAAACAAAACCGATTGTGTATGGAAAATAAATGCATTTTCAAGGAAGCATTGCAGAGGCCCGCGTTTTCTCCCTGGGGAAGGCAAGTCTGGAACAGCTTTTACAAGAATAATAGAATCACAAGAATCATTAAGGTTGGAAAAGATCTTTAAGATCGTCAGGTCCAACTGTCAACCCAACACCACCGTGCCCACTAAACCATGTCCCGAAGTGCCATGTCTACATGTTTTTTAAACACCACCAGTGATGGTGACTCCACCACCGCCCTGGGCAGCCTGTGCCAATGCTTGACCACTCTCTCAGTGAAGAAATTTTTCCTAATCTCCAATCCAAACCTCCCCTGGCGCAACTCGAGGCCACTTCCTCTCGTCCTACCACCAGTTACTTGGGAGAAGAGACCAAGACCCACCTCACCACAACCCCCTTTCAGGTAGTTGTAGAGAGCGATGAGGGCTCCTCTCAGCCTCCTCTTCTCCAGACTAAACAACCTCAGTCCCCTCAGCCGCTCCTTATCAGACTTGTTCTCCAGACCCCTCACCAGCTTCTTTGCCCTTCTCAATGAGAATATGTCTCAAACCTTTCCAAAGGGACTGATAATTCTGAGGTTCTTTGTCTGATGCTTGGAGAGGAGACAGCGTTGGATGCACTTTCAAGCTCCTTATGCCCCTGAACCTGGATGCATTCAGGCAGAAGCACCCCTGTCCCTCAGGCAGCACCTCTGCAACTGTTCCTCTAACAGCTGCTGATTTTCTTCCCTGGTGTCTCTCCTAAATTTATGCCTGTCTGTCACTAAACTCCAGCAATCTGCAGAGAACAAAAGAGTCACTTGGTGCAACTGTGATGTGACTGTTATGGTTTGCCTTGGATTTGCAAAAGTGTTCTCTAATGCTTTAACATACGCCTGCATGTGTCTAGCAGCTGCTGACTGCATGCCCCATCTAGTGACAATCAGCTTTTCACTGTTTAGTCACACACCTTGATTGTTATTTTCTTTTTCATGCTCATCTTCCTCATCCTCCTCCTCATCCTCCTGGATTTGTTCAACCTTGTTCCTATCTTCCACCAGGGTTACAACTTCATCAGTGTCTTCCAAGACCAGGTATTTGATTGGCACTCCCTAAAGAAAACAGAATAAATCAGTGTGAGCAAAACATCACCCTCTGCCTATTCTGTCCGCAAGCCAAACTCAAGGCTGATGGGGCATCATCACCCAACTCCTTATTTTTGAGGTATGTCAACAGATTCCTAAAGCTGACAAACAGGGGAGCTTCTGTGGTGTGTTTCTTTGGCCCAATTTCACCTGTGCCTGAGTTTTTCTCACTCCAGACTGACTTTTCGTAACGAGGAATTAATTGTGGCTGTGTGGGATCCTGTGTCTGGAATGGTGAAAGTGAACGCCTGCTCCACCTCCCAGCATCTTAACATGGATCCACCACTGCAAGAAAAAGCCCAGTGGCCAAACAATGCATGAGAGCGGGGAGGTCCAGGGTCCACTCGACTGTCCCCTCTCTAGAGGGGTCAGGCTGGGTCAGAGCCACCTAGGAAACCGGCACCAAAAATCCTTTCTCTCATGGAGCTCAACCAAGAAGAGTGCTCCCAAGCGTACATGGGCTGCCAACCCATGGGAAGAAAAGAGCAAAATGTATTTCTCGGAAATGAGTCCTTGTCAGCTTGAAACCAGTTCTGGCACTGTCTCAGCAAAAGGCACTTCAGAGAAAATGAATTTTATAATGAACTGAGAGAAATGACAAACTGCTGGCACCTCCCATTGGCTCTAAGAGGAGAAATACAACATGCACATCTCTCACCAAGGCAGGGGAAGCCCTCAGGGGATGCTCAGGCTCAGGTCTGATCCTGTATCTTTGCAATCACAAGTGTGACAGTTCAGGTAATCTGGGGCAACGTGTGCTCCCTGGCATTTGTCGACAATGAATTCCATCTTGCCTCACAAGCTGGGTCAGGTCCCTCCAGAGTTTAGCTCATCGTGATCAACCTCATTTAACTTACACCCTGCCCTTTTCCCAGATCGCTGCCAGCAGCATTCAGTTACATCAGTTCAGCACAGACCTTTGGTTGTTTGCTCTCAGTTTGCTCTTAGTTTCACACTCATTTCCTCTCCCATCTTTTGAACACCTTTCCTAAGGGGCCAAGGGCCTTCAGAAATCCAAATCTTTGGGGAATTTGCACTTGGACTACTGCTTTCGGTAGTTCACAGCCTTGTGTTGTGTTAAGGTGTAACGGAGATGTCACCCTACATTTTGAACCCAAAATAAACACCTTCTTTTGTCTCCTATAAGCAGGCACAATTGCTCTGTGGTACCAAACTCGGGCAGTTCCAAATACACGCATGCGGCTATGGAAAGACACTTCCTCTTGAGCTTTTGAGAAGGCTGTCAAATAACTATGGAGCCGAGCAACACCCCAACACTTCTCAAGAGCACCATGCCCAGACAGGGAAATAAGAGTTGTACAATTAAAAAATCCAGCATCTAACCTCATCTGGTGTCTTGAGAGCGACGTTTGACCGGAGCAGAATGTTCAAATCTACGAGGTCCCTTCCAAAATACAAAGTGAACATTAGAAGGTGCAATGTGCAAGGTCACCCCCTCCATTCAGACTGCCTGGCTGGCAAGTCCACCTCTCAGCAGCACCACATCCTCACAGAGTTGTGCCTCAGGACACCAGAGAACGTGCAGGAACCCGGAATCAATGTCAGTGGTGGAGAAATAGGCTCCAAGTGACCTCCTGGTGGGACTGCACTGCAATAACGTGCCTATTTCGCAAGGGGCTTGGATTCCCTTTCCATGATTTGGGTCTTTGCTCATGCACTGGTAGCCACATCCTAGTGCAGCTGCTCTGCTGGTGGACTTCAGCTCATGAGTAAATGCAGCCAAGAAGTGCCTCCATACAGGGAGGTACCACAGTGGCAGAAAGTTGGAATAAGAGAGCCCACACCCATCCTTCCTCCATCTCCTCCCATTTGCACAGCTGCCAGCAGACATTCCCGAAGGCCGTGCAACCATGCCTACAGGGGCTGCACACCTCCTTTGGCAAGACACCATGGAAGCACTTGCAAACACAAATCAGTCTAGTGTACGCAGGCTGCTCCTGAGCCCATGGAGCAGAGATAAATAACTGGTAGTCAACCACAGAGGAAGGCAGATCTCCACAGCACAGCTGCCCTATAGCCAGCCACAAGCATGTCTCATGTACTCCTGGGGAACAAGCGTGCCGGTCTAACTCAGAGAGCCCTTGTTGAATGAGGGGACATGGCATACTGAGCGGAAACCCCCATCGCATCCCAGCACCCAGCACCCACAGTCCACCTCCTTTACTGGATCTTCTTCTGCCCTTAATTTTAGGGCAGAATACAAACCTTCCATCTGTGCTGTTTCCTTTCCAAAATCTCTCTTAGTCTGACTGTTTTTCCACTTCTAAGTCAGCAAGAGACTCAAAACATTTCTACACTCTCAGCCAGTCTGAAACCAAACTAATCTGATTCTGGACAAGTCCTTAAATGTGACATCCTCTCGCAGGACATAGCCTAGTTTTACCCACACAAATGTGAATAAGCCCACTGATGATCATCCTGGCGGTGGGGTAACCGAGCTCAGAAACACCACAAAAAGCAAGGAGGACCCCAAAACACCTGAAAGCAAATACCTGGACAAAAGGGCAACTCCTGCTTTCCCCAAGAGCTGCCAGGCCACAAATTCTGCTGTCCTCCTGTCAGCTTCATAGGTCTCTTTCTGGCTGAGGATGAACACAAGTGGTAGCCCAAGCTGTAAGTGAACAGTGGAAACCTTCTCTGGGTCCTCAGCAACCTCCGTCTGGAGAAGAGACAAGGTTGTACTGCAGCACATCTCCACATCATTAAAGGCACCTCAGCTCTTCTCCAGCACAGCCCAAGCCACCATGTGCTCCCCAGCCACAGAAATAGGGAGACCCTCAAGAAAAAGCCTCCAATCCTGATTCTAAAACATCCATTGAAGCAGAACCCACACAAGCCCAGTTAAACTGTTCCAACCTGCCATGACTCTCCCCGTTAAAAACCTGGGCTTTATTAAGCATGCCTTTTGTGACTTAGCAACTCCAGATGTCAAATCTCCATTAATTTTTATTTACCTGGCATCCATTCCCCGAGGCAGTTTGAAAACCCCAGCCACAACATGTAAGAGCTGGCATCCTCTCCCTTCTTGCCTTGGACATGCTGCTTCATGACAGCATGGAGCTGCTTAACCAAGTGCCTTCCCTCCATGGACCTAACCCAGGAGACTGGCTGAAGGAGGCACTTACCAGCTCATCTACCCATCCTTTCGTCTGGGCAGAGATGTCACCAGTGGGAAATGGAGGCCTGATGAAGTTCACTGCCCCATGGGAAGAGGAGATAGGAGGGGGTCTCCTGTCCCTTGTGCTCACCAAGGCATGAATGACTGACATCAAAGTTCCCAGGGTGCTGAGCCTCCTGTGGGGAGCCTAGAGGAGCAGCTAAGGACCTTGGGTTGGTCTAGCTTGAAGAAAAGGAGGCTGAGGGGTGACCTCATTGCTCTCCACAGCTTCCTGAAGAGAGGACATGGAGAGGAAGGTCCCTGGGGTCCAGGGATAGGGTACGTGGGAATGGTTTGAAGCTGCGCCAGAGGAGGTGTAGACTGGAAATTAGGAAGCATTTCTTTACTGAGAGGGTGGTCAAACACTGGAACAAGCTTCATAGAGAGGTGGTCAATGCCCCAAGCCTGTCAGCATTTAAGAGGCATTTGACAATGCCCTTAACAACATGCTTTAACTTTTGGTCAGGCAGTTGGACTAGATGATCGTTGTAGGTCCCTTCCAACTGAAATTCTATTCTATTCTATTCTATTCTATTCTATTCTATTCTAATGTTCCAGCAAAGTCCAAGGGGCACCTCTACCTCGTCCCCACTCATGGTGCTTACAGACAGTTAGAGGAGCACACATTGGTGCCAGGGGTCCCTAGAAAGGTCTAAACAAGCTGAGCAGTGCAATGGAGTGTCGCTCCCATCCAGCCCCATGCCTGTTCCTTGCTTGGACCCAACCTTGCAGCTTTGCCACTAACTTCATGGGGAAGGGGCAGATTCTCATGCTCAGCCTTCCCTTCTGCTCACACCTCCCTCATCCTCACATCCACCCCAGCTGCCCTCATGCCCACAGCCCAAGTGGCTCCTCTTTCCCAGTCATACCACCAGAGGAGCCCCCATGAGCTTGAGGTGCCTGTGGATGTTAAGCATCGTCAGAGCCTGTCCCATGGCCGTCCTCCTGCAGGGCTGCGCCAGGTCCGTGACCCGTTGGCAGTGGCAGAACAACAGCCGGGCAGATGACACATCAGGCTCATCGTTGCTGTGAGAGAGAAAACAACAACCATGCTGAGCTAGGCATCCACCATAGGGTTTTAATACACCCTGACAGAATGACCATGTTTGCTGACACTTTTTACAGGGCAGATGATGACCTCAAGTTCAGGGTTTGGCAGGCTTGTGGGATGTCTTCAAGAGCCCTACTACTGACAGGTACAATTGTGTCCATGCACTTTCCAGAATTGTGCTGAACATCTAACAGAAGCCCTGGCTCCCCGGGTATAAATTACCTCAATCCCAGAATATTTGGCTTAAGAAGGACACAAATTAAGCTTTTCTCAGTGGGACCAGCCATGCCACCCTGCTGGAGATCCTGGCAGGAGGACAGCTGAAGTACAGATTTGCTCATGTCTTTTACCTCACTGCTGACATCTTACAGACTGTATAAGGAATATTCCACCTTTTGAACAGCATTGGTCTTGGCTGCACCAAAGGAAGCACTAACCAGGATGGTTCCCTAGTTAGCGGTTCCTGCTCTGAACCACCACTGGTGTTAGTTTGTAGGTCAGCTTTGGGACGTCACACTTCTTTTCTTAAATACCCACTCCCCACCTCTGAAATAGGGATCATCTTCCTTGTAAAGGACTTTAAGATCTTTCTGTGGAAGACCAGCATGTAGTATTAAGACCCCAAAGCCTGCCACCCCGGCTGGCTGAAAGCTATTCATGTTGGTGAAGCCACCACCATTTCCTCATCTAAGGAGATGGCCTGCTGGTGTCCTCTCTGCTTTAAGCAGAATGAAGCCAATTCCTCTACAAAGGACAACCGTGCCATCTAGTGGCAAGCACCAAATTCTGTCCCTAATCACGGTCCTGCAAGGATGGGATGGCATCTCAGACAAGGACCGCTTTGGTGCTTGCCCTGGTGTCACCTGTGAAAGCAGGCAGACCGTTGCATAAACGCTTTGCTGAAGATGCAACATGCTATGTGGTATTCCCACCTTCCTCCCTCCCAGTTTCCTGACTGCAGTAGGTCACAGCAGCAGCAAGTCGCGTTGAAGGATCTGCTCTTCTAATGCATACGAAGGGGATGGCGGGAGCTTACCAGCTCCAGTGATGCCATGGGGTGGGAAGTCCCAAATCCAGCACTCGGGGAAGAGTGTCTCATGCAGCTGAACTGCAGAACTCACTGCTGCTAGAAGTTGTGGAGACGGAAAGTCAAAATGTGTTTAAAAAAATTCTGGTGGCTGCTAACACCATGATACAGCTTCAGTTCTCATCTCTGAGAGTCACGAAACCTCTGACTGCCAGAAGATGTGAGGTTGCAGGCAACACACATCCATTCCCTCACATCCCTTGGGAAGCACTTACGGCCACTGCAGAGGTAAGATATGGAGCAGGGTAAGCTTTGCTCTGACCCACTGTAGCAGTTCTTACCCTTCTCAGCTGGCCAGACCTGATCATCAAAGCACAAGGCTGAGTGTTTTAAGACTATAACATCAGCTATATCAGCCCTCCTGAAAGCCCATGGCTGAGCTTTGGTCAGTCAGCTATGGAAAGGAGACAGTGGGCTCTTCTCCTATAAAATGATGTTCAATGAACAGTCACAAATGGCATGGCTAGTTCAAGTCCAGCAACACAAGCAGCAGCTGGTTTTGGAACAGCAAACCAGATCTGACTGTCCACCCTTGTCATAACATCCTAATACCATCCCAGATTTGACCTGGGAATCTGAGAACAGAAGAGTAGAGCCAACAGTGCAAGGCAGCAGCTCTACCTGGTGTGTGTGTGTTTGGACATACCCAGTGTCTTTCAACAGCGCTGCCTCGGTTGTCAGAACAAACTGGTGGACAGTCCCATAGACAAAAGCCGCCTCCATCACAGCTCTGTGCTCTGGAAAGAGAAAGGCAAGAGGAACTCATCTCAGCTCCCTCCAGATCTCCCTCTTCATCCTTCCCAGCTGTACCTATCAATGCCCAGGCTTTTCCAGAAGCCTGACTTCTCGGTAAGAAGTCACAGCTGTCTGAAGACACACTATGAAGGTAACTGAGTAACTGGAGCTGGACCCAGTTGCTGATCCCCAGTAAACACACGGGTTGTGTATCTGAACCCATTCTACTTCATAACCAGAGATCTGCCCATGGGTTTGTTTATTTTTTAAGACAGCAACCGCTGGCTTGCTTTCCCTCTCAAGTCCAGCTCTGAAAGTTTGTGCTCCCAGCAAAACTTTTCTGGTGCAACTGATCCCTTTGGAAACACAGCAAGGCACACAGAGGTGGACTACTTGTGTCTGGGTGGCCCTTTCAGGTTTTCTTGATCCTCCATTTGCAGGATTTTGGGTCAGAAACCCAGCTCCCTTGCACCTTAGTACGAAGGCTCTGGGAGGAGAGCAAAGATAAAAAGCTGAGTGTTAATACCTGCTGTCCCCGTAGCTGGTACATAGGCAAAGACCATGTTCGACCTCCCTTTCAACATGTTTTCAATGTTCTGAAGATCTGCCAGTGTTTCAACGTATTTAACTTCATTAAAGAGCAGGGCACTGAGGAGTCAGAAAAAACTCGTTCGTAAGTCTTTCCTCTTAAGAGCGAATTTGCAGACACATAATGGTGATGGGTAAAACAAGGTAAAATTCCAGCTGCCCAGATGTGTGCTGGTAAGTCATCTCAAGGACATAGGTTTAAGAGTCAAACCACACCAAAGAGAGAAGCAGCCTTCTGTTTGGCTGAAAGCAGCCCCTGGAATAGGCGGGGTTTGTATTTATGCAAAACTTTACATCAACAAGTGAAAATGGAAAGTAAAGGATTTCACAGAGATGCATCTGGTCTGTACTTACAACAAAACGTTAGCAACAATGGAGTTCACATCAAACAAGGCATCGGTGGGGAACTCTCTGATCAGCACGTTACCTCTAGGGAGGGAAGAAAGAGCATCACCAAAGAAACTCGCAGGATTAGCTACAAGCACTAATTCAGTTCCCACTCTGCTGAATACTTCTAGATATCTCCTGGCAGGTATGGCTGGAAAGAAAATGTCAGGTTTGAATTTGGGGATTTTGTAGGACTAGGTGTCCAGGCAATGCTGTTTCAGAGAAGTCACCTCTGTCACTGCCATTTCACTCAGCTTCTGGGGAGTGTTGATAAGAAGCCTAGCACAGACTGACAGAAGGTCTCTATATACCAAGCACCACCCTGTAGATCCTCACCACCAGAGGAAATGTCTCTGTGGGTCATGTACAACAGTCAATGAGAACTAAACTGATACATGGAGAAGCTTCCAGCTGATGACCCATGGAGAGACCAAGAGCTAAACCTTCTCATCCAGGGCAGATGAGCTAACCACACCAATGGGAAGAGCACCAAAGAGTGTTTCTTTCTAGGACTAGACACAAAACCTAGTGGAATGAGTGTTAGATCTGGAGGACCTGGTGGTGGGAGGCCACAAGGACAGAAGAACACTGATGCAGGATTTCTCTCATGGTTTCACGTAGCAGCACAGCCCTCTGCTGCTCAAACGAACATGGGCCAGGATGGGAGGTTTCACACTGAGGACAAAGCATCTACTTTGCCTGTGTTGGACCTTTTGGGGGTACTTTTCAGTGAACTCTATATGCCACTGTTGTCTTCCTGGCTCCTCTCTTCCTACACAGACATCTCTGATCACTGACAGCGTTTCCTTCAAACATTTGCACTGGAAATCAATCCAGAAAGCCCCTCTCACCTGAACAGGTAGGCTTTCCTTAATGTATTTTCTTTTCCACAGTATCTTGAGACATCCTCTTTGGGACAATTAACCTAGACATTGAAAGCATGTAATTAGACATTCAGCTCCACAAATGACTACAAATGTACAGCACTACGGTTTTCTTCCATTCAAGGGTGTAAATACAGCCTTTCTAAACTTGCTGGGAGAGAAAATACAATAAAATGGAGTGCAGAGCTGTGGACTGGAGTTCACACTTCAGTTCTCCAGCTCAGTCTGCCTTGAACTGGGTCAGATGGGATCAAGAGATCTTATGATCTGCCCAGCATATTTGAAGTGACATATTGCTGCTTATTAAACTCAGCCTGTATCTGGAGGAAATTAAATACATACACACACATAGCACTTCTTAAAATCTAATTACACTTGCCTGAATTTATAATTCCGTCACCTGAATCTGCATAAAGTTTCAGCTAAAAGACCCTTTGTATGAAATATTTATTGCACTGAATTGAAAAGGAGTGAACCAACCCCATCCACCATTCTTTGCAGTTTGAGGTGGCAGGAGGGAGCTGTGGAGGGGGTCGGGCAAGTCCCACCTTCTGAATAAGACTAGCAGCACGCTGGGCATCCTAGTCTTCCTTGTGCCATGCCTGTGGGTACACAGCTATGACCAGGAAACTCCACGTACCTCCCGCAGCTGCTGGGAGGCCAGATTAGATCCACCAGCTAAGGCTGGTACATTGGGCTGCCCATGAAAAAGACCAATCTGCAGGGAAATGTGAGTAGCTAAATGTCCCCTAAACCCATGACTGCAAATGAAAATCACAGAATCACAGAATCATTAAGGTTGGAAAGAACCTTTGAGATCATCAAGTCCAACCGTTACCCCAACACCCCCATGCCCACTAAACCATGTCCTGAAGTGCCATGTCCACACGTTTTTTGAATATTTCCAGAGATGGCGACTCCACCACCTCCCTGGGCAGCCTGTTCCAATGCTTGGCCACTCTCTCAGTGAAGAAATTTTTCCTAATATCCAATCTAAACCTCCCCTGGTGCAACTTGAGGCCATTTCCTCTCGTCCTATTGCCAGTTACTTGGGAGAAGAGACCAACACCCACCTCACCACAACCCCCTTTCAGGTAGTTGTAGAGAGCGATGAGCTCTCCCCTCAGCCTCCTCTTCTCCAGACTAAACACCCCCAGCTCCCTCAGCCACTTTTTCTAAGACTTGTGCTCCAGATCCCTCACCAGGTTTGTTGCCCTTCTCTGGACACGCTCCAGCACCTCAACATCCTTCTTGTAGTGAGGGACCCCAAAATGCACGGGTTCATCTACTGAGAATGAACTGGAAGGCCAGGAGCAACTCAGGGCTACTACAGCACTGCCAGTCCTCCGCTTTGCTGTGTTTGGAGACACAGGCACAACATCGAGCCTCTCTGGGACACAGGAACCTGCCCATGTCCCACAGGCAGAAGGTGTGACACAACCCACAAGCAGCAGATGTAAGGTCAGGGCAAGGGATAAAATGGGATGCCCTGGTCTGCCAACATCTGCTTTCTTGTGGGGTCCCACTGCTGTCAGTCCCCAAGGTGGCTTTGTTCACCCCGCAGGAAGCCCTGCTGAAATAATCTGCAGAAATAGCCTGTCCCGTTCCTTGTCCCCATTCACCTTCACCACCGAAATGCCATAGTCCTGGAGGGCCTCGGCTGAATTCTCGATCTGCTCCAAGAAGGGCTGGACACCAGGAGAAACTGAAAAAAAAAAACAAACAAAAAAAGCTGGTTTCCATCCCTTCCCCTTACGGATGAGACAGAAGAGAGCACCTTCAGGGCAAGCACTGTCTGTGCTCTGGCATGGTAACAGCATGCTGAGGTCCTCCTGCACCAGCCCTGGGACATCGGAGCAGAGCAGGGCAAACAGGGAGCCGTGGCATGCGGCCGGTGGAGGTGCCTGCGGGGATGTGGCTGGGGGAGACAGAGGGATTGGGACCGGTTTTGTCAGGTGGGTGCTGCTGGGCTGGGCTGCAGGTCCTCAGGGTCAAGAGCATCCTCCTGCCAGGCACTGAGGTAGAGCTTGACACCATATGGTCTCGCTCGTGCTCAGAAAGTAAAGGTATTTTCTGAAACAAAACCAAGGGCAACAACACAAATGCCCACAGACTCCCCACCTTCCTTTCTAACACACTCAGTGGTGATGTAGGAGCTGTGTTGGTGACCCTGCCCATGATGATGTCCCTGGGAAACCATATCTAGAGGTTATGAAGGTGCATAACAAGCAAGGCCAAGTATCTCCTTCTAATTCTTGACAGCCCGTAGTTCCCCTGCATGCAAGGAATCCCCCTTTCCCTGGGAGGTACCATGGAAAAGAAACCCAGCCCCCTGAGAGGACTTCTCCTTAGGGAGGAGGCTGGGTTTCAATTCCACGGTACCTCCAGAAAATAAATGAAAATGTTTGAAGGAACGTGCCTGGGAAAGATCCCACCCCAAGAGGTCTCCACCTGTCAGGAGCACTCAGGGCCATGCAAACTCACATTTACCACCTGAGCTTGACCAGCTCTTCAAAATCACTTTGGGTTTAAAAATGTCAAGAATTGCCTCTTCATTGTTCCACTTTCACACACACCCTCACACGAGCCTTTGCAGAAAACCCAGGCTGACGCAAATGCATACCATTAAATACATACCATTATGGCTGAAATAAGCCAGGAATGCTCTGCCGGCTTGCAAGCTACTGAAATACTCCTGGGGGCTCAGCTCCCGCAGCAGCCTCGCACTTCCCCGCGTTGGGATGGAGGAAGCACAGAAGAGCAGGAAAGAGAAGGAAGAAACCCATCTGTCCTTTTGGGCTGACATGGCTGTTATCAGCTACAGGCACGGGAGAGTCGCAACTGTGGGAAAAAATCAAACACAAATACATACATGCACAAGCATATATATGAGTGTCTTCTGTTTAGGCAGCATGACTGTAATTACAGATGTGACACAAACATCTCGAGGACGTCATGAATTAGTCACTAGAACAGCAAGTGATTCAGACAGTGGTAATGGTGACAGCAAAGGCTATTCCCTTTCCCCTGAGAGGTATCTGCAAATGCACAGACCCTCAGTGCTTTCAGTTTAGGGCTGGTTTTCTTCCCTCTATTTTTTCTTTCTTCTGAGTCAGACAAAAATTACATGCGCAGGCAGAAAACAGTGGCCGTATCATACAAAAAAAATCACCCAAACTGTTTGAATTCTTGTTAAGCTTTGAGGATGCCACTGAAAGAGGTGTTCACGAAGGGACGGGCCATATTGCTCAGTTCAGACCGTGCCACATGATGGGGGAGGTTCAAGAGTCCTCCTCTAGTGCCCGCCCCATCCCTCCGCCGTTCGAGGTTTCAGCTACCCCAAACGGGAGAGGGGTTTGTGCAGACTCCTCGCGCTCGTCACGCCTTGCTCGGTCCAGCCTCGTATTATTGTGGCATTGGCAGCACGGGAGCAAAACCCGTGACTGCAGGGCAGTGCCAGCAGTCTCCCTTCCACGCCGGGTCTCCACGTAGAGCTGGTCAGGAGAGGAGCCAAGGAAATTTGTGAGATGCTTCAGAGAACGGGGCAAAGACCAAACGTGCAAGTCTGCTGCCAGGTTTCCCCAGCGGCCCTGCCCAGGCTGCCCTGCCACGGTTGTTTAACTCTTCTTGCTCAGATTAAGGGGCTCGGGAGAGCTTCATGTAGAAGCTCTACAGGATGTGAAAACACCTTCTTCTCACTTCATTCCCCTGTTTAATGCCAGGTTCCTTCGCAGACTGCTCTTCAGGTATTGGTCTTTGCTGCTGGGTGTGCTGGAGCACGGCTGGTCCTTGGTCAACAAAGAGACAAAGCTGGAGCTGAAGCCGTGCAGAAGCTGTTTGCTTTGCATCGTGAGCTGCAGCTGTTTTCGTTAACAAATGCCCCTGTGTCCACGGACTGTCACTCCCCCAGCACCCTGTCAGATGCCGTCAGCTTGCTACCGCTGCTCTGTGACGAACCCAAACTCAAGTGCTCAAAAACAAGCAGGCAGAGCCCCTCTGCCTTGCTGCGAGAGCGGGGGCTTAGCGGCAGCCAGGCATGCTCAGCCTGCACAGGCTCCCTCTCGCGTAGGTGAGTGTTCGGATCAGGCCTGAACGGCACAATGGAACAACGACAGAGCTGGGAAAAGCATGGCTTTTTTTTTTTTTTTCTTTTAATCTGAAAGTCTCCCGTTCTCCCCCCTCCAGCTTTGGGAAGTGCCAAGCATTTCTGGTCCTTTGCCCTCCCATCTGTTCCTCTGGCTCACAGAGGGGACAGAGATCAGGGCAGGGGGACAATGTTTATTAAATGACAAACTTGGCTACAGCAGGATGGAAAAATAAACTTAATCCTGGCACGTGGGAACTGGCCCAGGTCAAATAGGAGAACTTACTGTCAAGGAAGCAAGAGGAGCAGCCTCCGGTGACTCAAAGACTTCATGGCATTATACCTGGAGGAGGGAGCCAGCAGTTTAAAACACAACTACAGCCTCTACCAAGCCCCGATCTCTCTTCGTGTCTCCTCTGGCTCTTGTAGTTTTTCTAGCATCCACCTTCTGCCCTCTCCACACCCCTGTGACTGCTGCTCTTCCCCTTGCACCTCTCCCAAAGCCAGCTCTGTCTGCCCCACCACGACCCCTCAGTCTGTCCCCCCACCCCGCTCCTCCCCATGTTTTTTCTAGCCCTTCACAAAAAAATACGTGCTCATCTCTTCCCTGCTCATGCCCTCTCACCACCTCATTGCTCCGTCCTGCCCAGAAGCTTCCCTCTGTGCCCCATCAATCCAGACTCAGATATCCAGCTTTTAGGTTATTTCCTCTGTCATCTCTTTTCCATCAACGGAAAATTAACACTATGGGGCTGGAAACAGCCAGAACTCTGTACCGCAGCCACTTGCAGGATTACCAGGGACGTGTGAAAATACCAGGGATGTGTGAACCAGCTCTGTGTCACTGCTGGGAAACCCTTAAGCCCACGGGTCATGGGGCAGCCCAGCACAGCAGAGCCAGTATGCAAGACCTGGTTCATATCTTCACTGTCGTACCTCCGAGACAGAGCCAGGCAAGGTGGTCAAAGCTACTGTAGATGACCTAAAATGAAACCAAACACACCAGAGGCACCCAGCACAGACTCTAGTGTTGGCATAAATTGCTTGTGCCACATCAGTTCTGCTCGGGCATCTTGCAGCGGTAACCACGGGCTGGGATCCCCGCATCCGTCTCTGTGATCCCATCCACTCTCCCTCACATCGTGCCTCGCAGAGCCCCCGGCTGCCGATATTTATTACTGAGGAAGCTGCAATATATTTAGTTCAAAGCGGAGTAATGTGGGGTGGTTTTTAAGATGCAGAAGACAAGGGAGAACCACTGTCCTGGACTGTACAGCCAGCCAGGTACCATCTCCGTCATCCCCGGGCCTCCCTGAACCCAGGAGAACCACCACCAACCCGGACTTAAATGCCAGCGATATAAAATCCCCCACATCCCTCAGCAGCATATTTTCTTCCTGGTGATCAATTACCTTCTTGCAAAAAACCTACACTTTATGTCCAGTCCAACTATGTTACACTGCTGCTTCCCCTTCGTTTTATCTCATTTTATTGGTATCTTCCAGCCTGCAGAGCCCTCAGTTGGCAAGTTTTAACTCCCTAAGTAGATGCTCCTAAACCAGGAGCATTGAGGATGCTCCTAAATAGAGGCACGTCAACTTTTCCTGTGATGATCGACACAGATGGGGCCTTTCCGTGCAGCAGGACATTCACCCCACACCCAGCTGGTACAGTTTTTTGGCAATGTGCTCACCTGCCTTTCATGCCCTTCTGGCAGCAGTTAACCAGTGTGCTGCCCTCCCGAATTTGCCAGCAGAGAGGACACATAACAGCCCCCAAATCCACGTGGGGCTGCCTCAACCCCTTAGCTACAGCAGGCTAAACAGGCTGAAGCACTCCCCCCGGCATGGCTGGATGCCTCAGCACAAATATACCTGCTGCTCGCTGCTGAAAAACGCACGGGAGAGCGTAATGCTGACGCCTCTTCTTGCACGTTGGAGCGTGTACACAGGTTTCCTTTAGGGGATCCAGAAAAACTCCCTGACAAGCAACCTGTTCCAGCCTTCTGCTCTGCGATCCGCATGAACCCCTCCAGCCCCATGTCACTGCCCGACCACCAAGCCCTTCCCGAATGCATCCAACTTGCTTGCAGCCGGCTCCTCCGAAGATGGAACCTATCCCAACAGCTGTCTTGTCTGCAAATTTCTTTTCTCCTGAAGAGATGATAAATTGGCTCTTCAGGGCCAAAGAAATCATCCCTGGGGTCCCACTGAAGCACATCTGGATGACACTGACTCTCCGGTGACAACTCACTATGTGAAACTGTCACCCTGCGGCCACTTCACTGCCTTGGCGGGGGCAAGGTTTGTCCTGCAAGTTTTTAATTCATCAGAAGACCAGGTAGCCTCAAATCACGTGCCTGACAATGGATGACATATACTGCTGACAACTGCTGAAATATGGCTTATGTCAAGCAATATTTAAGTCTTTTTCTTCCCTGGGTGAGGTTATGTGTTAGGTTTATGGAATCTTATAGCTGCCCAGCAATAACCTCACTTCCTTACCAGATATTGCATTGCTTTGCGTCTTTTTCGCTACATGCTCCCCTTCCCTGGTCACCTTTGAAAAAGTGGCCAGCACCAGCCTTTTCCTCATCAGCAGACAAGTTGGGTTCATTACCACTACCCGGTTTTGCTGGAACAGAGCTCAAACCAGCTCCTTTCAAATTTTCCAAGGGCTTGTTCTTTGACCCAGCTGACTTGAATAATGTCGAAAAGTTGCAGTTCCCCAGCGTTTGGAGCTGGGAGAGTGCTGAAATTGTTCTCCATCACTTCAGGATGGGCCTGCAATCATGGGACAGAAATACCTGCTGGCCCTTCCCACCCGCCCCTTCTCCCCAGCAGCCTGCGGAGGAGGCAGGGGGTGCAACCTGCC